CTTTTCTCCATTTATCATGATGCTGCTTATTGGTCCAGTTGTGAGGATTTTTGTTTTCTTTATGTTGAAGTGTAATCCATACTGAAGGCTGTGGTGTTTGATCTTCATCAGTAAGTGCTTCAAGTCCTCTTCACTTTCAGCAAGCAAGGTTGTGTCATCTGCATATCACAGGTTGTTAATAGGTCTTCTTTCTCCAATCATGATATAGTCCAGCTTCTCGGATTACTTGCTCAGCATGCAGATTGAATAGGTATGGTGAAAGGATAGAACCCTGACCACACGTTTCCTGACTTTAAGCCACAAAGTATCCCCCTTTTCTGTGCAAACAACTGCCTCTTGATCTATATATAGGTTCCTCTTGAGCACAATTAAGTGTTCTGGAATTCCCATTCTTTGCAATGTTATCCATAGTTTATTATGATTCACACAGTCAAATGTCTTTGCATAGTCAATAAAACACAGGTGAACATCTTTCTAGTATTCTCTGCTTTCAGCCAGGATCTATTCTGACATCAGCAATGATATCCCTGGTTCCACGTCCTCTTCTGAATCCAGCCTGAATTTCTGGCAGTTTCCTGTGGACATACTGCTGCAGCCGCTTTTGAATGATCTTCAGCAAAATTTTACTTGCATCTGATATTAATGATATTGTTCGATAATTTCCACATTCGGTTGGATCACCTTTCTTGGGAATAGGTAGGCATAAATATAAATCTCTTCCAGTTCGTTGGCTAGGTAGCTGTCTTCCACATTTCTTAGCGTAGACGAGTGAGCACTTCCAGCGCTGCATCTGTTTGTTGAAACATCTCAATTGATATTCTGTCAGTTCCTGGAGACTTGTTTTTCACCAATGCCTTCAGTGCAGCTTGGACTTCTTCCTTCAGTACCATCAGTTGCTGATCATATGCTACCTCTTGAGATGGGTGAATGTCGACCAAGTCTTTTTGGTATAGTGACTCTGTGTATTCCTTCCAATGACTCTGTGTATTCCTTCCATCTTCTTTTGATGCTTCTTGCGTCGTTTAATATTTTCCCCATAGAATCCTTCACTATTGCAACTCGAGGCTTCAATTTTTTTCTTCAGTTATTTCACCTTGAGAAATACTGAGTGTGTTCTTCCCTTCTGGTTGTCTATCTCCAGCTCTCTGCACATGTCTTTATAATACTTTACTTTGTCTTCTCGAGCCGCCCTTTGAAATCTTCTGTTCAGTTCTTTTACTTCATCATTTCTTCCTTTGTCTTTAGCTACTTGACATTCAAAAGCAAGTTTCAGAGTCTCTTCTGACATCCATTTGGGTCTTTTCTTTCTTTCCTGTCTTTTTAATGGCCTCTTGCTTTCTTTATGTATGATGTCCTTCTACAACTTGTCTGGTCTTCGGTCATTAGTGTTTAATGCATCAAATCTATTCTTGAGATGGTCTCTAAATTCAGGTGGAATATACTCAAGGTCGTACTTTGGCTCCTGTGGACTTGTTTTAATTTTCTTCAGTTTTAGCTGGAACTTGCCTATGAGCAATTGATGGTCTGTTCCACAGTCAGCCCCAGGCCTTGTTCTGATTAATGATATTGAGCTTTTCCATTTTCTCTTTCCACAGATGTAGTCAATTTGATTTCTGTGTATTCCATCTGGTGGGGTCTATGTGTATAGTCACCATTTATGTTGGTGAAAAAAGGTATTTGCAAAGAAGAAGTTATTGGTCTTGCAAAATTCTATCATGCGATCTCCAGCATCGTTTCTATCACCAAGGCCGTATTTTCCAACTACTGATCCTTCTTCATGTATCAGTAGACCACAGGAAAAAAAATTTTAATGACTAAAACAAATAACCCTGTAAATTTGAAAATATTAAAACTCACTTCTATATAATTCATGACTCAAAGAATAAATCATATGGAAATTTTTTTAAATTAAAACTGTTCAATATTAAAAACACTACATATAAAAAATGGGTCACATGCAGCTTTGAGATATGTAAATGCTTATATTAGTAAATAGTTGAATAAGTGTAATTTAAGGCAGAATGATATAGAGAATAAGTTTAGGAGAAGAAACAGTCCTATTTTAGTTGAAGATATGATGGAAAAAGTAACAGATTTTGAGGGGCCTTGAAAGAGCATATCAAGGAGAGGCAACAGCCTGGGCAAATGTCAGGAGACAAGAAAGCAAGAGGATATTTAGGGAACAGTTTCCTGGGTGGTGCAAATGGTTTGTGCTTGTCTATTAACCAAAAGAGTGGCAGTTTGAACCCACCCAGAGGTACCATGGAAGAGGGCCTGGTGATCTGCTTCCGTAAGGATTACAACCAAGAAAACTCTATGGAGCTCAGTTCTACTCTGTGACACATGGGGTCACCATGAGTTGGAATCAAGTAGACAGCAACGGGTTTATTTAGGGAAGAGTGAGTGTGTGCATGACTCAATCAACCGAACTCTAAGATTTCATCTGTTTGTGTTTACTCTGCAGAATCACTCTGCCTCCATGACTGAAGTTACCTGAGAATGCTGATGTGTCACAAGCAGTTTTTTTATCACCCTGCAGTTCGATACTACAAGACACACAGTTACTCAATGTCAAACTGTGAAGACAAGTATTATGTTTATCTAGTTAGAGGCTAATGTTTTGTACATTTTTTGTATGAGGAAGTGGTGTAGCTTGCTCGGTTTTTTTTTTTTTTTTTTTTGTCAGCTTTAATATATTTATGCCAGAATTTTAAAACCAACAAAATTTTCTTGTTTAAATGTGCATTGAAGAACCACATTTATTCAATGGTTGATGTTGTTTTTGTGATATTTGTACACAAACCTTCTTTTTCAGTTTTATAAACACAAATAAAATTAATACAATTCATTTTAACCTTTTGTTACCACAGTTGCTGCCTCCTCCAGAATTTTTGAATTTTAATGAAAGTTAAACTTTTGAGTTGCAGGGAGGACAATGTTGGTTAATGGTAAATCTCAAAATCAATTGTGTAAAAGAAGAAACATTACCTTCAAAATGAACTCTGTGTTCTGATCTTTTAACATGCTGTTGCATTCCACATTAATAGTAATAAATTAGTGAAGTTACTTATTAATACAATTGGCAGGGAATCTGGTATTTGGGTGGTGTTGGGGTTAGATGAGAGGAGCTCTGGTGGTGCACTGGTTAAGCACTTAGCTGCTAACTGAAAGGTCGGCGGTTTGAACCCACCAGCCACTCCATGGGAGAAAGATGTGGCAGTCTGCTTCCATAAAGATTTACAGCCTTAGAAACCCTGTAGGTTAGTTCAACTCTGTCCTATAGGGTCGCTATGAGTCAGAATTTGACTAGACGGCAATAGGTTTGGTTGGGTTTGGGGTTAGATGATTCTTTTTTAGATAATGGCCTCACCCACCTAAAAAACTCAAGATCTTTCTGGAACCATTTCCTTGGGCAGGCAGGTGACACTGGGCAGCCTTCCGTCCAAAAAAGCAGCCAGCACCAGTCTCCTTGTCAACTCAGTTGTTTTGTAGATCATATTGTATGGGCTTTCTATGAAAATGAGTATTCTACAGTTTGCACAGTATTATTTTACAGAAAGGGTATCAGCATCTACAACATAGAGCCCCAGAGTAACAGCTTCACCTTGTGGCTTTTAATTGTTCTAGGATTTTTAACTGCATCTCATTTTTCTAGCATGGTAATAACTAATGTGTACCTCCTTTGAGATGAGGAGCTCCCTTGTCTGTACCTACCAGAATGTTCTCTTGACACTTTCATGTTCGCTTTTCTTAGCATTTTTTTGTACATATTTTTTTTTCTAAAGAGAAAGAAAAAATGTTATCACAAAATCTATTCTGGCTCATGTCCTCTGTTTTAAGTCTCATCCCCTGAGCAAGGTATTTGAAGCATCATAAGGAAATGACCTCAACAAATATTTATTCTTCTCAGTGTCCTGCCTGCTGAGATAAATCCTAATGGAGACAGGACTGAGAGGTCATTTCTTATGTGAGGGGGAGGAGGGAGAGAAGAGAAGAAGAGAGAGAAGGCAAAATAAAAGAATTTTTGAAATTATTAAGACAAGACACTCAGGAGCACTTTCTGAATGTCTAGCATGCTACCTACATCACCAGCCTGCTGACACTTGCATTGTCAATAAAAAGTCAGGCAGTCATTTTTAGGGACAAAATTTACCTCTGCTAAAACTTTCTCTGATACCCTGTCTCCTTGTGGCCTATGCTTATTTACACAAATACACACTCTCACACCCATCTTCTGGGTGGTGTCTGACTAAAGTTGGGGACGGGGCAAGGAAGGAAAACCTATTTAAGCCTCTCCTCATCCCAGGTGCTTTGCCAAGTGCTTTTACATACAATCGGGTCATTCTCATAGCAGTGAGTCCAGGGAAGCTGTGATGATCCCAAGATGATACTCTACACATCAGCACCAATCTTAGAATCCAGATCTGCCTGCAATTCCACTCTTTCTACTACATCAAGAAGCCTTTGGACCAAGCTCCCATCTTTCCAAAGGTTTTTCAATGTGATGTGCCTACTAAGATGGTTCAGGGGGTGGTGTAGAAGAACAAAGACAGGGTGAGAAGGATGCATTCTTATAACAAGAAGGAATAATTCACAAGTTCTGAGCTCTCCAATCTTGTATAAGCTACCTAAGTGTAATGTCACCAATTTTAGAATGATTCATTTTTCTCTCTCTAAACATTTTAGAATGTTACAAAAAAGAAACTATGGCTCAATTTTATTTCTTTGTTCATATGACATTCAGAAAATGCTGATAGGCTAAACCCACTTTGCATATTTTGCCCATTTCTCGTCATAATGAGAAGTCATTTGGACATTTACATGTTCAGCCACCAAATGGTATTTCTAAGAATGTAAGTTAACTAAGTGAATCATGTTATCCTTCTACTCTTCTTTCTGGTTTCGATGTAGGAAGGACCTGTCTCCTTCCAAACACTTGTAGCGTTCCAAGAGCTGTGGCCACGCATGTATGTGAGCTTACTAAATTTAAGAGGTATGATAAATGTTTCATGAAATTCAAGCTGAAAATTAATTTTTAATCCATATTTCTCAGTTTTCTTTTAAAAAGTTAGGATATACAAGTTGTCCTTCTACATGACATCAGGCCAGATCCACAAGACAGTGGGCTGCTATGGTGGGGCAAGAGATCAAGGATCAACTAGAAAGTCTTCAGTAGCAAATAATAGAAAAGTCCAATGTAAATGGATTAAACAATAAGGAAATTTATTGAATCTCAAAACAAGAAATGCAAAGGTTAGGTAGCTACGGAAACAATATAATCAGAATACGTGTTTCATTTTGTTGAAATCAGATCCCTGAAAAGTAAGATTTAGGTAGTGCTGGGATTAGCAGGTTTCCTAATCCCGATAAGAGGGACACCCCTCTTTAAAAAAAAAAAAAAAAAAAATACAAATGCCCATTGCTTGCACAGAACCTGGAAGTGTTGATGAAAGCATCATGTGAAAGGAGGAATAATTACTCAAGGAAACACAGGAAGAGTTCAGATAAATAATTCTCCAAAGTCTCAAAGGCAACTGTAGGAAATGACACCCCTCTTTAAAAAAAAAAAAAAAAAAAATACAAATGACACTCTTCTGCACAGAACCTGGAAGTGTTGATGAAAGCATCATGTGAAAGGAGGAAAAAGAAAGAATGCTCTATCCATAAAATGAGAATAGGTTTTAAGGAAGTAGATCCATTAGAGCTCAAAGAACTCATATATTTGTGCCCTGGTCCTTTGTTTTGTCCCATTTCCTTCTAGTAGATTCAAACTAGAGTTCCCTGGGTGGAACAGATGGTTATGCGTCAACTACTAGCTGAAAGGTTGGCAGTTCAAATCCACCAAGAGGTGCCTGGAAGACAGCCTGCCATCTGCTTCTGAAAGATCACAGCCTTGAAAACCCTATGGAGTAGTTCTACTCTGCACACACGAAGTTGCGATGAGTCAGAATCCACTCCATGGCAACTAACAACAAGATTCAAAATGACTATGAAACCTGAGAAGCCAAGAAAACCCCCTCTTGCCACACTATCCGTGCCTTATCCTTTCTTTTTTCCACTCCAGCCTCTTCTCCCTACCCCATCTTCATCCTTATTTGCTTCTGGTGGGAACGAGGTATTGCCTGAAGAATTTCTGGATCTCTCCCCAGGCATGCACCTGAGCTGCCGCGTGGGCAGCAGGGTCCCCTCCCCACAGCTAGGGCCAGGAAAAGCCATGGCTCCAGGAAGCGTAGCACAGGGGAGCATAAGGTGGCTCTGTGAGGTGGCCTGCTCTGAGGTATACCAGTATCCTTCCGCTGCTTCTCCCGTGGCTCTATAGTTGGTCTAGAGTCTGCTCAGCATATATTCTGCTATTGAGACATTTCGTCATTCTCTCCAACTATAACGAGGATCCTACCCTGAGCCTTTTCAACAGGAAGTGTGCTCTGCTGATTCAGCACATCCCGGGGGTCCCCCATAGAGTACCAGATGCACACGGCCCCAGAGATGTGGATCTGGATGCCCTCTTTGACCGACTGGATGGGTTTCACAACCAGATCCTTGTACCTGAGTGGAACTTGAAAGATGGTGTTGAACCCATTTATGCATATGGTGGCTTCCACCTGCTTCAGGTAGCAGGCCATGGCCAGCCCGATCTCTGCACCTTTACACACGGAGATCACTCCGATTCCTGACTTTTGGATCTGCAAGCACAAAACAAAGGAGAACCCATTAGAGGCCATGCTCTGGGAAGGAGCTGTCCCACAGACCAGTCCCACATACTGTGAGTAAGCCAGTATGATGCTGAGAGAATGGGACTGAAGTCCTGGCATTCGGATTTACCAGCTTCTGTGACTGAGAAACTTACATACTTACCCTCTCTAAGCCTTGTCATATTTGCGGGTGAAATGAGGAAGACTCATTAACAACCTGCAATATACAGATGACACAACCTCGTTTGCTGAAAGAGAAAAGGACTTGAAGCACTTACTGATGAAGATCAAAGACTACAGACTTCAGTATAGATTACACCTTAACATAAAGAAAAAATTTCTCACAACTCAACCAATAAGCAACGTCTTAATAAACAGAGAAAATATTGAAGTTGTCAAGGATTTCATTTTACTTGGATCCACACTCAACACCCATGGCAGCAGCAGTCAAGAAAGCAAATGATGTATTGCACTGGGCAAATCTGCTGCAAACAACCTCTTTAAAGTGTTAAAAAGCAAAGATGTCACTTTGAGGCCTAAGATGTGCCTAACTCAAGCCATTGATATTTTCAATTGCCTTTGAATTATAGTGTTGGTGAAGAATATTGAATATATCATGTATCATGGACTACTAAAAGAACCAATAAATCTATCTTGGAAGAAGTGCAGCCAGAATGCTCCTTAGAAGTGAGGATGGCGAGACTTTGTCTTACGTACTTTGGACCGGTTATCAGGAGGGACCAGTCCCTGAAGGACATCATGCTTGGTAAAGCAGAGGTCAGCAAAAAAGAGGAAGCTCTTCAATGAGACAGACTGACACAGTGGTTGCAACAATGGGCTCAAACTCAGCAATGATTGTGAGGATGGTGCAGGAGCGGGCAGTGTTTCATTCTGTTGTACATGAAGTCACTATGAGTCAGAACCAACTTGATGGCACCTAACAACCACCACCTCACAGAATTGTTATAAGGATCAGGTGAAATAGTATAAATAAAAACTCTTCATCAAAGGCAGTCCTTGGGTGGTGTTAACGGTTTGAGCTCAACTGCTAACCAAAAGATTGGTAGTTTGAATCCACCCAGAGCAGCTGAGAAAAAAGACTTGGCAACTTACTTCCATAAGATTACAACCATTGAAAACCTTATGGAGTTCGGTTCTACTTTGACACCCATAGGGTCACTATGAGGCTGAACTGATCAACATAATGGGTTTGAATTGTTTTATTTGTTTTATCAATGGCAGCATTTTATAAGTGCAAAAATGGTCAAGAATCACTAATGCACCAACAACACTTGGCATAAAGGGAGACAGGTGAGAACAAGAGCAGAGGCTGATTAGCTTTTCTGAAGAATCACATTCTTATCTCAAGCTAGGAAAAGATGTGCCAGGGGTTCTCTCAAATATTACATAAGTTTAATTCACAGTTAAATATCATTTTGCAGCTAAAACAGTTTTACACATACATGAATATTACTGCCATTAATCCAAGAGCTGATTCTGAAAGCACTGGGGGTGTGAAGACAGGAATTTCTACTCTGGACTTTGTAAACCATTGAGCTATAACACCCAGTCCAACAGGAAAAGGTAGTAGGTCAAAGATGGGAGTTGTTAATTCTGTGGTACGCTGAAGGGGGAAGTGGGGAGCAGCTGAAGGGTTCAAACTGCCAACCTTTCAGTTAGCAACCAAGTGCTTAACCACTACACTACCAGGGCTCCTTTTTGCTCACAATAGTATTCCCAAAGCCTTTCTATCAATAGAATCACCTAGAAAAAACTTTTAAAAATTAGATTTTGAGATCTGATTCCTGGAGTGTCTGCCTCAGTAGGTCCAAGTGGGGCCTCAAACGAATCCAGTGTGCATCCATGTTTGAGAACCGTCCATGTGAGAAATGGATGGGAGGAGTGGGAGAGGAAGGTTGTGATTAGAGACAGGATATCAGTTAATATGCTATTGCAGTATTATGAGTGGGCAATGAGGTGGCAGGGAGAGTGTACTGTATTGAGAAAGATTTAGGACTAAACCCTGTAACACTTCGGGATTTGTTGAGGATGAGAGGAAAGGGAAAGGGAAGAGACCAGATGGATGAAAGTGACTAAGTGGATTAACTGAGGGCTTACTATATGCTAGGCCCTAGGCTAAGTGCTTTACACATATTATCTAAGTAAGTCCTTCCAATAAGAAACTGAGTTCCAGGAAGTTTAAAAGACTTGCCTAAGGTTATAATAGTATCAAGGGGCAGAGGTGGGAATTGAACCTCACCTGCTAATCTAAATTCCAATTGAACTTTACAATTGCCCTTCCTTTTCAGACAATGTCACGAATAGTTAAATTTAAAGTAAAAAAGACAAACAAACTTGAAAACATTTTTACAATTTTCATTTAATTTCTTTTAGGCAAGCCTTTAAAAAGAGTCAACTATGCTTAGGAAAATCAGACACATTTAATTACGATGGTGGTAACAACACTGAAGATGAGGATGTTGATGATGCTCCAATGGGAAACACAGCCTATCGGTCCTTGAAAAGAGTCACAGCTTTCCAGGATTAGGACGGGAGAGAAAGATACAAGTCAGGGGTCAGGATAACTTAATGGTTCTGAGCACAGACGTTGCCAGGCCAGCTTTGTCACTCACTAGATGTGCAGCTTTAGCAAATTACTTTATTCTTCCAAATATGCTTTCTCATATGCAGAATGAGGGTGACGGTAAATTGCTTCATAAGGTTATTGTGAGTATTAAATGAAATAATGCATACGAAGTGTTTAGCAAAAGGCCTAACAAGTAGTCACTCAATAAATGTTAGCTGGCATTATTGTCTTACAATTGTTAGGTTGAACTATAAGAAATGGTGAATATTTGAACATTTTTGACCTATAAAACAATAAATTCATATGCTTTGACATAATAGAATGTCAACCCTGACACCTGACCACCTGGTATCTATTTCTGTTTCCCTTTTTAGTCATTAACACAAGTATCGGTACCTTGGGACCTTCCCAGGAGAACTAAATCTTGATTCAACTGGCATTTAGCTCCTACAAAAATCAAGGATGTAAGATGTACTATTTCAGTCTTTATCAAATGTTATGTTCATAAGAATCGCCTGGGGATCTTGTTGAATACCAGATGCTGGTTCTGTAGTTCAGGGATGGGGCCTGAGATTACGCATTTTTAGCAGCTCCCAGGTGATGCCAGTGCTGCTGGTCCATGAACCACACTTTTAATAGCATGATGCTCCTTGACAACGAGTTCTAAAATGATCCTTCCTTTTAAATTACTTTCCCTAGCTTGGATCTTGACACTGAACCCCCGCTTTATGCTTAGCTCTGCCTCCAGATCTGAAATTAATTAAAGAGCTCAAGCTCAGCTATTCATAAGATTTTCCCTGGCCAATTTTTTTAGAAGTAGATCAGCAGTTCCTTCCTCCTAGGCTATCTTACTCTGGAAGTGCCACTGGAACCAGTCCACCATGGGTGACTCTGCTGGTATTTGAAATACTGGAGACATAGCTTCCAGTATCACAGCAACACACAAGCCACCACAGTATGACAAACTAACAGATGAGTGGTGGATTCAAAATAAGAAGAAACAGCTGCAAACATCATCAATAATTGGAACATGGAATGTACGAAGTATGAATGTGGGAAAATTGAAAGTTGTGCAAAATGAAACGGAATGCATAAAGATTGATATCCTAGGCATTAATGAGCTGAAATAGACCAGTATTGGCCATTTTGGACAATCATATGGTATACTAGGCCTGGAATGACAAATTGAGAAGGAATGGCATCGCATTCCTCGTCAAAACGAACATTTCAAGATCTATTCTGAAGTACAAAGCTATCAGTGATAGCATAATATCCACATGCCTATAAGGAAGACCAGTTAATATGACTATTCTTCAAATTTACCCACCAACCACTAATGCCAAAGATAAGGAAATTGAAAATTTTTACCAACTTCTGCAGTCTGAAATTGATCAAACATGAAATCAAGATGGATTGATACTTACTGGTGATATGAACGTGAAAGTTGGAAACAAAGAAGGAACAGTAGTTGGAAAATATGGCCTTGGTCATAGAAACTACACCACAGATCTCATGATAGAATTTTGCAAGACCAATGACTTATTCATTGCAAATACCTTTTCTCAACAACATAAAAGGCGACTATTCACGTGGACCTCACCTGACGGAAAACACAGGAATCAAATCAACTACATCTGTGGAAAGATGATGGAAAAGCTCAACATCATCAGTCAGAATAAGGCTAGCGGCCGACTGTGGAACAGACCATCAATTGCTCATATGCAAGTACAAGTTAACCTGGAGAAAATTAAAACAAGTCCACGAGAGCCAAAGTACAACCTTGAGTATATCTATCACACCTGTATGTAGAGACCATCTCAAGATTGACCTATTGAAGATTAATGACTGACGACTAGACAAGTTGTGGGATGACATCAAGGACAGCATACATGAAGAAAGCAAAAGGTCATTAAAAGGACAGGAGAGAAAGAAAAGATCAAAATGAATGTCAGAAGAGACTCTGAAAGTTGCTCTTGAACGTAGAGTAGCTAAAGTGAAAGGAAGAAATGATCACATAAAAGCACTAAACAGAAGATTTCAAAGATGTCTTGATAAGACAAAGTAAAGTATTATAATGAAATGTGCAAAGCCTTGGAGTTAGAAAACCAAAAGGGAAGAACATGCTTGGCATTTCTCAAGCTGAAAGAACTGAAGAAAAAATTCAAGCCTCGAGTTGCAATTTCGAAGGACCCTATGGTCAAAATGAAGCCCTGGTGGCAAAGTGGTTAAGAGCCCAGGCTGCTAACCAAAAGGTCGGCAGTTAGAATCCATCAGCCGCTCCTTTGAAACCCTACAGGGAAGTTCTACACTGTCTTATAGGGTCACGATGAGTTAGAATCGACTCAATGGCAACAGGTTTGGTTTTTGTTTTTTATGGGCAAAATATTGAATGACACCAGAAGCATTAAGAGAGGATGGAAGAAATACACGGAATCACCAAAAAAAGTTGGTCAATGATCAAACATTTCAGAAGGTAGCATATGATTAAGAACCAATGGTATTGAAGGAAGAAGTCCAAGCTGCACTGAGGCATTGGCGAAAAACAAGTCTCCAGGAATTGACAGAATACCAATTGAGATGTTTCAGGAAACGGATGCAATGCTGGAAGTGGTCATTCATCTATGCCAAGAAATTTGGAAGACAGCTACCTGGACAACTGACTGGAAGAGATCCATATTTGTGCCCATTCCAAAGAAAGGTGATCCAACAGAATGCAGAAATTATCAAGCAGTATCATTAATATCACACAGAGATAAAATTTTGCTAAAGATAACTCAAAAGCTGTTGCAGCAGTACTATCGATAGTGAACTGCCAGAAATTCAAGCCGGATTCAGAAGAGGACATAGAATGAGAGTTATCATTGCTGATGTCAGATGGGTCTTGGCTTAAAGCAGAAAATATGAGAAAACGTTTACCTGTGTTTTATTGACTATGCAAAGGCAATTCAACTGTGTGGATCATAACAAATTACGGATAACATTGCACAGAATGGGAATTGCAGAACACTTAACTGTGCTCGTGCAGAACCTGTACATAGACCAAGAGGCAGTCATTCAAACAGAACAAGGAATACTGCATGGCTTAAAATCAGGACAGGTGTGTGTCAGGGTTCTATCCTTTCACCATACTTATTCAATCTATACGCTTAGCAAATAATCAGAGAAGCTGGACTATAAGAAGAAGGATGTGGCATCAGCACTGGAGGAAGACTCATTAACAACCTTCGATATGTAATGACACAACCTTGCTTGGTGAAAGTGAAGAGGACTCGAAGTACATACCGATAAAAACCAAAGACTACAGCTTTTAGTATGGATTATGCTTCAACATAAAGGAAACAAAAATCCTCACAACTGGACCAATAGGCAACATCATGATGAACAGAGAAAATACTGAAGTTGTCAAGGATTTCATTTTAGTTGGATCCACAATCAACACCCATGGAAGCAGCAGTCAGAGATCAAACGACATGCTGTACTGGGCAAATCTGCTGCAAACAACCTCTTTAAAGTGTTAAAAAGACAAGATGTCGCTTTGAGGACTAACGTGTGCCTGACTCAAGCCATGGTATTTTCAATTGCCTTATATGCATGCGAAAGCTGGATAATTAGTAAGGAAGACCGAAGAAGAATTGATGCCTTTGAATTATGGTGTTAGTGAAGAATACTGAACATACAATGGATTGTCAAAAGAATAAACAGGGCAGACCTCATACCATCAAGAAAGCAGTGCCAGGAGCAGAGCGCGTCCTTTGGACAGGGGTCCCTGTGCCAAGAAGCTCCTAGTCTGGGGGAACAACGAAGAGAAGGATGACAGAGAGGAAAAGCCTTCCCTTGGAGAGGATACCCTGAAATTGGACTTTTAGCCTTCTTTGACTGTGAGGAAATAAATTTCTCTCCGTTAAAACAAAACAAAACAAAAAATTCCAGATCCACCTCCAGCAGTTGTTTTGGCAGGTCTTCATGGGCAAAATATGCTAATGCCAACACTGCAAAGCCATGGGCAGCCAAAAGACTGGCCCGGAATTCAACCAGACCCCCAATGCCTCCAAACAAATCAGTGACTCCTGGAAATGGGCCTTCCCCTGAGAACAACAAAGAAAGAAGAGAACGGGATCAGAAAGGGTGAAAAAGAGTCAAGTAGATTGCAGTGAAAGCAAAATCTGAGCAAAATCAATCCCATTTTCTCACGCATGCATGTGTGTGCACACACAGGCACACATACACCCACCAACACACACACTTACATAAATAGCATGCTATCTTTAAAATATTGTGGGAAATGTTGGTTGTCCAATAATTTGATACCATATGCTTTTTCTTTCTTTCTTTTTTTCTTAATTTTGTTTGGTGTGATAATAATACTGTTTCCATGTTAAAAAATGACTGATGTTATCTATGGGTGATATGTATCTTATCTGGAAGTTGCTTTAAAATATTTCTACAATAATCTTTTCAAAAGTTTATTGGGAGTGGCAAATGACCAAAAATGGAAACAGGTTAAAAATTATTGAGTGAGTGATGATGATGTCATACGCTTTTGTTTTTATTTCCATCCACAATGTTTTCTATATCACCAAAGATTAATCTCACCTGGTGGGAGAAAAAGGGCTCCTCGCACTCGACCTTCCCAGATCTGCACCCGTTGCATCCCAGGGCCAGAGAACGAGCGCTGCAGAGCCTGGCTGGCCCTCGGCTGAGCTGTGGCTAAGTCTTGGAAGCAAACGGAGTCATACAGATCCAGAGTGACCCAAAAGGGGATGTTCATCATATCCTGCTTGAGCAGCCTTCGGAAAGCCCTCTCAGGCTTCAGAGACCAGAAGAGACCCATTGGATGGACCCCCACGTAGTCACCTCCAAATGCACGGTCCTGTTCCTGGTCTACTTCGCCAGTCTCGTTTGCCCTGTAAAAGGCTTTTGACCGGAACAAGTTCCCCTTCACATCCTTCAGAGATACCTTGAAAGTCACCATCTGGGATGGGGGCAGGCCTGTCATTCGGATGTGCACCGGCTCGTCTGCAAAGGCAGTTGCTGGGGTGACTGTCAGCTGGAACATTAGTAACTGTCAAAGGGACCACGTGGTGCTTCCTGCTGTGCAGTGGGAGAGGAGACTTTGAGTTGGAGACTTACATTTCAAGGAAAGACCAATGCAAGGCTTATGTTAGGTCTAACCAAGTTAGCCTTCTAGGGACTTAGTGGACAGTACACAGGATATTTGGAGGAGGGAGGGGAAGACATGCATAAAGTGCTCATTATTCTCATTTTACAAATGAGAAAACAGATTAAGTAAGATGCTCACGACAATATAACTGGGAATTCAACCTAGATTTGACACCACAGCCTCCTGGCTTATTCACTATTACAGGGAAGTAAATCTTAGTTTTGTGTTGAGTAAATTGAGCTTTAATCCTTCAGTTGAGATAATACCTGGTGACCTATTTTACAGAGTATTTGTCAGGATCAAAGAGGGTAAGACATCATAAAGTACTCTGAAACATTGCTGTTTTCCAGCTCTCCAACCTGCCTCGGGTAAAGTTACATGAACAAGCAATGTATTGTGTGTGTGTGGTGTTTTGTTTTTGTTTTTTTAAGTATCTAATTCCTACCTGCCTTGCAAGACCTCAAGGTCTTCGTAGAGTTCTCATTATTTTACTTTTTAAAGGAAAATAAAACTTACCGTGATTTTGTTTTTGTGTAATGCCTTTCCAATGGAGTGATAAATGTCAATTTGGTGGGTTCGGATCACTGACCTTTTGGTTAACCGAGCTCTTAACCATTGCACCAGTAGGGCTTCTTTTGTTTTAACCACTGTTGTTGTTGTTAGGTGCTGTCAAATCGGTTCTGACTCATAACGACCCTATATACAACAGAATGAAACACTGCCCGGTCTTGTGCCATCCTCACAATCGTTGCTATGTTTGAGCCCATTGTTGCAGCCACTGTGTCAATCCATCTGTTTGAGGGTCTTCCTCTCTTTTGCTGTATAATCCATACTGAATGCTATAGTCTTTGATCTTCATCAATAAGTGCTTCAAGTCCTCTTTGCTTTCAGCAGGCATTTAACCACTTCTCAGCTAAAAATTAAAGACAATGAAACTTTCAGGGAGCATCCAACTCTAATTCTGTAATCTGTGCCCCTGCAATAGCAAGATCTTCTTTAACTTGTCAGGTCTTCTTTAGATCTAGTAAGATCTTTTTTAACCAGGCCAGCTTATGATTCCATTTTATAGCTAGACCTTGTCTCCCTACTTATACTTTTGCCCCCAAATACTCAGCTACTCTATAGGCCTCTTAGAATCACTTCATTTGATGTCCTGTGTGATTGACTCATCAGTGTTTTGTTTGTTTGTTAATTCTAACACCAAAGATCTACATATAAAGAATTTTTGAATAGACATAAACTCTTAGGTTAAAAGTCAATTTAATTACTCATGGAATGAAAGGAAATAGCAAGAATTTTCCCAGGATGAAAACTCAGAATCCTCATTTCCAAGAGATCATAGATTGTGACATAATTTTACTAAGAGCCCAATTCCCAGTGAACAGGAGCTTGACTGGAATATATTTTGTCAGGATCTCTAGCATATTTTTTAAAATAAATGTGTCATCATAAGAAACTATAGTAAAGAAAAGTAGAGAGGCAAAGAGGCAAGTGTGTCCAGCAGAGAGAAATGGAGACTTGAAGATATTTCCCCAAAGTCATTGCAGGCAACTAGTGTCCCCCTACTATCTTGCTATCCAGCTATGTGCATCTTACCTAATCTTTTCAGCTACATCAAGAAATTTAGTGCCTAGCAGAGCCAAGATGGCAGACTAGTCAGTTGCACTAAGCCATCCTCCTGCAACAAAGACCTGGAAAACAAAGTAAAACAGATACAGCCATCAATCCTAGAACCCTGAATCTTAAACAAAGGGATAAAGTATTGAATCAGAAGCCACTGAGAAGAAGAAACTGATAGAAAACGGGGAAGGAATAGAGATACGGAGGGGAGGTTCCCGGCCAAATGGCATGACCCAGTGTGGCCACCTTGGAATAAAACCAACAACCTCACACGTAGAAAGCCAACTCCATGGAATTCCCAACAGGAGACAGAGGTACAGCGCAGACACACCAGGACTAAGCAAGACCACATTTGCTGGCTGCAACTCAACGAGGAGTCCAGACTCTCTCACCTGGTAACCACAGGAGCACGCTCCTACAGCTCCACTTGTCTGGTGAACAGTGGCTATAACTATCCCATCCCAACAACCCCAACTGCCAGGAGCCACAGTACCAACCCATCCTATTGCACTCCTCCATTGATCCCCTTCTGCCCCTACCTTTATCCCCCTCTTGTACCTCTCTCCTCTGCCCCTCCCTCCGCAGCCCTGAGGGAACCCAGCCCGGACCCCAGGCCCTTCCCTACCAGCTCCAGACCTCTCCCACCACCTGCTGTGGCCTGGAGAGGGCATGGCCCAGCCCCCTGGCCCCTCCCCACTGGCTCCAGACCCCTCCCCCCAGCCACCATGGCCCCACTCCAGCCCCTAGCCAGGTTCATGCTGCAGACTAATGACCCATCTCTGCCCCTTCCACCCCTGCTGTACCTGCCCTGTAGCATCATAGCTGAGTGACCAGCCCTGCACACTTGTACAAGGTGGTGAGAACTATTATGCCCACAGACAAACAAGCAACAAAGCATGCCCAGCCCACCCACCTAGACATAACCAAACAAAACAAAAAAGCAGGACAAAACAAACAAACCCACAATCAATCAATAAAAAAAATAATACCTGAATGTCTTGGAGATAGCAGATAATATCAAAACATACTTAAAAAAAAAAAAAAAAGGGTAAGATGGCTCCTGTAAGCGACAAGAATAAAGCGCCAGTTGACCTTCTGGCAGAAAAAAAAAGCACTGGAACTACCTTATAGGGAATTCAAAAGTCTAATATTCAAAGCTCTCCAAGAGGTTAAGAAATAGATCAAGGAAAACACAGACAAAAATCATGGAAAACACAGACAAAACCAACTAAAACAGCCAAAATCAAGAAAACACAAATAAAGCAATAGCAGAATTCAGGAAAATAATACAAGAAGAAAATGTCAAAATAAATAAGCAATTAGAAAGCATACAAAAACAGCAATTAAAAATCTAAAAAAATAAACAACAAAGTGTCAGAAATGGACAATACAACAGAATATTTTATGAGCAAATTTGAAACAATGGAAGACAGAATCAGCAAAATTGAAGACAAATCCATGGATACCATTTTGTCTGAGGAAAAATCAGAGAAAAAAATGAAGAAAACCTAAGAACTATGTGGGATAAAATTGACAGCAAAAATTTGCAAGTGATTGGAGTTCCAGAACAGGGAAAGAAAATGGAAAACACAGAGAGGGTCATTGAAAATGTGCTGACAGAAAACTTCCCTAATATCATGCAAGATGGAAAGCTGATCATCCAAGAAGCTCAATGAACCCCATATAGGGTAGACATCACAAGAAAGTCACCAAGACATATCATAATCACACTTGCCAAAACAAAAAACAAAAAAAGAATCCTGAGAGCAGCTCGAGAAAAATGAAAAGTCACCTGCAAAGGGGAAACAATAAGACTAAGCTCCAATTCCTCAGCAAAAACCATGTAAGCAAGAAGGCAATGGGATGACATACATAAAACCCTGAAAGAAAAAAATTGCCAACCAAGAATAAGATATCCTGCAAAACTCTCGTTCAGATATGATGGTGAAATTAGGACATTTCCAGATAAACAGAAATTAAGAGAATATGTAAAAACCAAACCAAATTTACAAGAACTATTAAAGGGAGTTCTTCGGTTAGAGAACCAACAACATCAGACAACAGCCTGAATGTAGGACACAAGACCACATCAGCCAGATACCAACCTTGGTAATGAACTCTTAAGGATAAAACAAAACTAAAAGATTTACAACAGGGAACCAGAGAGGTTAATCTGTTAATGACAACAATGTCAGAACAATAAAAGAGGGAATAAATGATGCAGGTATAGAACTTTAAAAAGGAGAGGAAGTCAAGGCAATATCAAGTAATAAAAAACTGGTTCAAACTTAGGAAGATAAGGGTACATTTCAAGGTAATCACAAAGAAAGTTAATAAACCTACTCATCAAAATAAAGAAGAAAAACATAAAGTTTCAGTAAACAAAAAAATCTACAAAAACGAAAGAAATAGAAAAAAAAATCCACGAACAAATGGAACTCAGCACAGTAGAGTAAGAGGAACAAAGAAAACATCAGCACCACAAAAAAAAAAACACTACAAAATGATAGCAATAAACTCACACCTATCCACGATCACACTGAATGTAAAAGGTCTAAATGCACCCATAAAGAGGCAGAGAGTGACAGAATGGATAAAAAACAGGATCCATCAATATGCTGTCTACAAGAGACACACCTTAGAAACAAAGACATAAATTTATTAAAAATCAAAGGGTGGAAAAAATATATCAGCAAACAGCTACCAAAAAAAGCAAGAGTGGCAATACTAATCTCAGATAAAATAGGCTTTAAAACAAAATCCACCATAAAGAACAAAGAAGGGCATTACATAATGATTAAAGGGACAATCCATCATAAAGACATAACCATAATAAGCATTTGCACACCTAAAAACAGGGCCAAAATACATAAAACAAACTCTAACAGCACTGAAAAGAAAAATTGACAGTTCCACTATAATAGTAGGAGACTTCAACACACCACCTCAATAAAGGACAGAACATCTAGAAAGAAACTCAACAAAGATACAGAAGATCTAAAGGTCACAATCAACCAAGTTGACCTCATAGACATATATAGAACACTCTACCCAACAGCTGCAAAGTACACATTCTTTTCCAACACACATGGAATATTCTTCAGAATAGACCACATCTTAGGCAACAAAGGAACCCTCAACAAAATCCAAAACACTGAGATAATACAAAGTATCTTCTCTGATCACAACACCAACAAAGTAGAAATTAATAACAGGAAGAGCAAGGAAAAAAAATTAAATACATGGAAAGTGAATAACACCCTGATTAAAAACCACGTGATAATAGAAAAAAATCAAAGATGGAATAAAAAAATTCCTAGAATCAAATGAGAAAGAAAACACATCATACCAAAACCTTTGGGACACAGCAAAGACAGTGATCAGAAGTTAATATATAGCAATAGGTGCACACATCGAAGAAAGGGACAAAATCAAAACATTAGGTACACAACTCGAACAAATACAAAAAGAATAGCAAAAGAAGCTCACAGTCACCAGAAAAAGGAAATAATAAAGATCAGAGCAGAAGTAAATGAAATAGAGAATACAAAAACAATACAAAGAATCAAGAAGACCAAAAGTTGGTTCTTTGAAAGGATCAACAATATCGACAAACCATTGGCCAAACTGACAAAAGAAAAACAGGAGAGGACACAAATAACCCAAATAAGAAATGAAATGGGGGACATTACAACAGACCCAACTGAAATAAAAAGGATCATAAC